AATTAATAAATTAGTAACTGATTCACTTCAATGTGCTCCTGGGAGACGAAGACTTAAAAGACCACGACTCACAACCAAAAATTTTGTCCATTGAACTAAACATCGATTAAAAACTCCAACCTTAAGTCCAGCCCGAGCTGAGCAGCCGCTGAGCTGCCAATAGGTAGCAGGATGGCTCAGCTAAAAAAAACAAAAAACAAAAACAACAACAAACACAAAACCAAAAAACTCCAACCTTGTCAGAAAGGACGGATCAGTGGATATCAAAGATTCCTCAAGGATGAGATGCTGCTGACATCAGGGATAGACAGCTAACTCAAGACATCGAGAATGCCTGTATATGAACTTAAAATAACCATCTGTTTGATTGTCTTTACCTGTCTGCTAATAATATTAGTAATAATAATACTTATTCTTTAGGCTTTTCTCAAACCCTGTACTTAAATAGCAACTTAATAATTGCTAAATAAATATAACTTTTTTTTTTTAATAAAAATTTTATTGGGGCATTGGGGAAGGGGAACAGCATTGGGGAAGGGGAACAGACAAGTTGCTGTACTTTTTGTTCTTCAGTCTAGTTGTGGAGGACGTCACTTCACTGGCCCGTGTTGGTATTATCATTGTGTTCTTCCCAGGTGAGGCAGTCGCTCACCTGCCATTGGACAGCCACTCACGGTGGCTCATGGCAGCTCACAAAAACTCATGCCCACAGCCGGCCAGCCCCACTGCATTCTATGCTATCGCTGGTGACTCACTGCAGCCCAGTGCCAGGTCAAGCTGTTGTTCGCCATCTCAGCTGTAGAGGACGCAGCGTCACTGGCCCTCATGTGGGATCTGAACCAGGGCCCTGCTGATCAGAGCTGGCGTCCCAAGCCAACTCCTAACCAACGCGCCACTCGGCCAGCCCAAGATAACTTCTTTATCAATATTTTTATGGTTTTTGAAATTTAGAAGGAATCTTATTATAGAAGGAAGAAAAGAGATGTGTGTATGTATCTTTGAGAGAGGTTAAAAGGAAGTAGTTTGTTTTAAAAAGTTGATTATTTCTGAATGAGGAAAAGGTGACAAACGGAGAAGGACGAGTGAAGTCAAAGGTTAATGGAACAAAAATATTGAGAAAGGAATTTTATATATATATAAAATATATAATATATATTTATATATAAATATCAGAACCCAATTATACTAACCCCATAACTCAACATAGACTACTAACTATATTAATTCAGTTAAAAACTAAAATGGATGTACATATATATATATATATATATATATATTTTAAATGGCCCCCTATAATGGCTGCTGAGGCACAAGAAATTTATGAAACTCTTACTGTCCTGGCCTCTAGAAATTTTTAGGTAATAATTGTAATTTACACCATTATGGTCTTACAGTCTTGGCCCCTATTTAACCTTAAAGTTACAGTTCCCAGTTCTACAACTTACAGAAATCCATTTAATGAATGACAGGCCATATTAAAAAAGGTGAATGGTGGGCCGGCCGAGTGGCGCGTTGGTTAAGAACTGGCTTGGGGGCCGGCCGAGTGGCGCGATGGTTAAGAACTAGCTTGGGATGCCAGAGGGCCCCGGTTCGGATCCCACATATGAGGGCCAGTGACACTGCCCTCCACAGCTAAGATGCTGAACGACAGCTCAACCTGGAGCTGGGCTGCCATGAGTCGCCGGCGACGGCGTAGGCTGAAGTCCCTGTGGCAGTGGATTGCCATGGGCTACCCTATGTAGCCAGCAGCCAGCGTGAGCGGCCAGCAGCTGCAGTGAGCGGCCGTCCAGAAGCTGGCGACTGATCTGCCTCGCCCGGGAAGAGCGCAATGATGGTGCCAGCTTGAGCCAGTGAAGCAACATCCTCCACAACTAGACTGAAAAACAAAAAAACAACAGCAACTTGTCTGTTCCCCTTCCCCCGATTCCCCAGAGCTGTTCCCCTCCCCCAATTCCCCAGTAAAATCTTTAAAAAAAAAAAAGTGAATGGTTCTGTCTCCAACCTATATGGAATTCTGAATTCACGCAATC